TCTGAGATAACTAGGAGACAGCAGCAAGTGGGGACCGGGGCTGGGAGCACATCAGTGCTGAGGGGGACTTGGGGACCATGTTGACAGATCACTCCAGAGCTAGAGGAGGAGGCAGGGAATCTCACCCTTCTGTGCTCAAAAGAGGAGCTACTTGTTTTGGCATTTCCAAGAGTACCCAGGACAACCTCAACTCGCCTCACCCACCAGCAGCTTCTCCACCCCCTGCTGCCGACCAAATATCCCAGCAATAAAACACCTGTGGAGGGAAAATTTTGGGTTGTGATCCACTGTGTGTGAATGCCTGAGGAATACCCAGACCCTAACTGCTTTTTGCTAATTAACCGAGTCACTGTTTGTCCCTTAGGTGTTAAACGTAGCCCCTCAGAGATGGCAGAGGGTGATGTTGATGTTGCCAATACCTGTGGTCCATATTACATAAACAATCTGAGTTATTCAGAGGAAGATTTTGACAAACTGGTGAACCTAAGTTACTACAACGTCCAGAACAATAAAGATTTGATTCTTCAGGCCTTGCGTACGGCCGTGGAGCGGAAAAAGCAGCACAAGAAAGAGCAACCACTGCAAAAAACACCCGATGGGGATGGGGTGTGTGTGCCTGACAGAAAGGGAACCCAGCATTTGGCCGACTGCCCAGCACGAGGGAATATGAAATAAAATATCTGTGAGTCTTGTTAATGAAGGAAAAAAAAAGGAATTTGATTAGGAAGTGAAGAAAAGCCAAAGAATGCTAAGAATAGCACTTCATTTGTCACCAAGAATGCAAAAGCCTGTCTGTCAGTAAAGGGAATAAACACAAAAAACCAGAGCTCTTCCTTAATGAATTAATGTGCTTCCCTCGTTGACAGCCTCAGGAGCGTGGCTAGGTGAGGCTTTGCTCTGCTCCTGCTTCCAGAAGAGACCTTTCAGGCCAAGGCCGAAATGCGTGGACAAGGAAGCGTGAGGAAGTTTGTGCTGATGGTGTTTGTGCTCTACCTGTGCTATAAAAACAGAGGATTGTCAGTCCAGAAACACAGCAGAGAACAAAATCCACTGTCTCTGAAACAAAACCAAGAAGCCCATTTGTGAACTAGGGAGTCTTTATGTGAATGTAAATAAATATTGAACTTTATATGATAAAATACTTTTTTGGAGTCAAGAGTTACAGCAAATAAACATTTTTCACAGCAAATACCTGTTAAAGCCATTTCTTTTCAGTGCTTCTTCCTCTATTAGCAAGACAGTTGAAGACAACATGCAGACTTGTTTCATAGCTGCTGAAAAATTATTCAAGAAGAAACTATGCCAGCTCCAGACCTATATGTGAACTGCCCCAGCATCCTATGAGTTTAGGATTACATTTAAGACCCATCTCTGCAAAAGTGGACTATTAAGCTGGACCTAAATGTTATTGATACATACCAAAGGTTTAAAGCTTTAAAGTTTTTGAGACTATTACCTCTGAAAAAACAAAAGAAACACAGACAAAGCAGATCTAAAATTGTGTATCTCATATCATCCACCCAAATGCAATTTTTTAACTTGCTGTAGAGTATTGCAACTGAAGTTAACAAAACATTAACTTTCAACTTTCTGACTCTTTGGTCATCACATCGACATGGCTCCTTTCAAGTAAGTGGTCTGGTTTTTTTTGACAGGTGGAATTCCAGGTCTCCACTGATTATTTTTCTAAATTAATTACTATTCAATGCTATCGATTTATTTAGTAGACGTCCTGTATCTACAAGCCCGTGTTTCCTGCAGGCTTCCCTGCTCCTCACTTCTGTTGTAGTATCCTTTTGTCAAGAGATCTTGTTATTCTGGGACAAAAATTGAAACAAATCCCTTTGTTACTGAAGGTCAGTGAGCACTTACCTGTGGTGCACGCTGCAGGAGCCCATACAGATCCTGTAAGGGCTGCATGCCCAGGGTTTACCTCCCATGGAAACAAGGGACAAAGACAGCAGTCGTGCTGATGCACGCTGGATCTCATCACAATATGGGACGGGATGCAGCCAGAGGGCACAGCCAGACCTGGGAATTTGGAAGCGCTCCCAGGTTCCCGTATACAGTTAGAGCTTTATTGTCTGAAGGGCAAAAATTATCCCACTGACAGCAGGAAGCCTCTATGCAGGAAGCCTGAAGACAAGCAGAACGAGGTGTGTGAGTGCAAACACTTCCCTGCCCTTCCTGCAGCTTTCCAGCAGCCACGAAGGGGTCACAGAGAACAATGAACACTTTACCCCATTTCAGAAAGCTAACACGAAATAATTATTACAGTATGTCTGAGTTCTCTACATTCAACAAAGAATACAGAGGAAAATGTCAGGGCTGATCAAAGAGGTGGAACAGCTCCCACAGAAGGGAATCTGCAACCTAGAGAAAGGACGGCAGGGGTGAGAGGCAGAGAAGAGAAAGAGCTAGGAAATCTGGAAAGAAAGAGCTATGAAATCTGGAGTGCCCTGTGGGGGACAAACAGGGAGTGACTGTGCACCTCTCTTCTGACACAAGACCTGGAGGGGATCAGACAAAACTAGCAAGCAGCAGGTTCAACGCTAACAAAGAAAGGTAGTTCTGCACACAACGTGTAATTAAGTTATAGACCTCCTTGCCCCCCAGTGCTGTTGTTGATAAAAGTTTACAAGTTAAAAAAAAAAAAACAAAACTGATTGGTGCATTCACTGGAAAATTTTTAAGGACTAAAAAACACAAAGGCTCCACACCGGCCTCAGTCCTGCACTGAATCATCAGTTCCCAGAGGCTGAGAGGACAGTTTGAGACAGTGTTGTACCTGCCCTCTTTCTGTGATGTTCTCCTGTCACTAAATACTGGATACCCCAAAGACAAGTGGGAAAGCAATCTCACCCCAGACTGCAATACTTATGTTTTTCACAGCTCAGATATTTTTGCAGACAATAAATGACCAGGAGTAGTCAGGCCTCCTAAAGATGTGGTAATACAAGACTCATTTAAAAGAAATTACTCAAGTAACGTGAAGAAGATGTAAGTAACTGCAAGGATAACTTAATTACCTATAGATTAACCTATGGGGAAAAGTCATGAAAATGAGAGGAATGCAAAACCAAACTATTTTTATACTTTATAGGGGATTTTAAAAAAAACCCCAAACAAATTAGGAAGCCCGTCAGCAAAGCCCTACATGAAATGGTATAAAATCTTTGACTCAGCATGGAAATTGCAACAAAAGAGTTGCAAAACACATGCACAGCCCTAAATAAAATGTGAAGCAAGGAACCAAGAAAAGGCAGAGTGGTTAAATCCTCAGGACTGAGCATTATTAAAGTCTAACATCTGTTCTTTGAGGAACAGCAAGAGGAGGAGGGAGACGGAAAGGGCACAGCTAAACCTGCTGATGTATTTAGAAAGGAGCTGAAGCATACAGAAAAAAGGTAATATTCAAGATGGAAATTAGGAGGAAGAAAGGTACATAGCTAAAAATGAACCAGTATGTGTGCTGGACCAGCAAAAAGGGATTTAAATGACAAGGACGTTGCAAAGGAGCCAAGGACATGAGTGTGCAACACAAAAGATCTACTCTTAGCATAATATTTACACACAGATCCAGCAAAAAATCCCCACCCCCTCACACCTTTTTTTTTTTTTTTTAACTGGGAGCCCAAGCTTTTGCTTTCTAAGTAGTGAGGGCGCACAAAGTTTTATGCTAGAGAAGAAGAAAAAAGTATTCATTTGACTGATTTCTTTGATGTTTTAATGAATATGGTATTGTATTCAATGGAAAATGAAAATCAATGGAAAAGGTGATCCTTCCAAGAGGCTTAAGGCAATTATCAACACCTGAGGGTAAAACTAAGGGCTGTATCTGCTACATGCGTCCCCGCAGCAAAATTTAGGTGTTATATTAAGAGTTTTCATATTAAGAGTTTTCACCGTGTTTAAAATAGTTACTCAATGTGGTAGCTAACCCCCACGCCTCTTAGTCACGCACTCCTTTGGCATCCCCAGCCAGCAACCATCATCGGGGAAACACGAGAAGCATCTGGGCGGGCGATCCTACGCCGGGAGCGGAGCCTTTCCGAGGGTCATTTTAAAGGGGCTGAAATTTTGGGGGGGCGGAAGAGCAGCAGGTACAATTAACCTCCGGAGGCGGATTGGGCGTTAATAAATAACGAAAGAAAGGAACACTCCGGGTCCAACCTAACAACATCCCCCTCAAAAGAAGCCCTGAACCCACCCGACGCCGAGGGGACAGGCGAGCGGGGCGCGGCGCGTTGCGTGTCCGGGAAGCGCCGGGCGCCGCCTTTCCCCCCCCCCCCCCCGCCCCCCGCCCCCCCCCCCCGCCGGCGGCTGCGTGTGCGGAGCGGCGGCAGAGCGCTGTGCGGTGGTGGCGGCGGCGGGATGTTCAGCTGGCTGGGGAAGCAGGGCGGCGGGCGGGAGCGGGGCGGCGTGGGCAGCGACGTGGTGCAGACGGTCACCGGGGGGTTGCGGGACCTCTACCTCCGCAAGCTGCTGCCGCTGGAGGAACACTACCGCTTCCATGACTTCCACTCGCCCGCCCTGGAGGAGGCCGACTTCGAGAACAAGCCCATGGTGCTGCTGGTCGGGCAGTACAGCACCGGCATGGAAAAGGTGATCCTTCCAAGAGGCTTAAGGCAATTATCAACACCTGAGGGTAAAACTAAGGGCTGTATCTGCTACATGCGTCCCCGCAGCAAAATTTAGGTGTTATATTAAGAGTTTTCATATTAAGAGTTTTCACCGTGTTTAAAATAGTTACTCAATGTGGTAGCTAACCCCCACGCCTCTTAGTCACGCACTCCTTTGGCATCCCCAGCCAGCAACCATCATCGGGGAAACACGAGAAGCATCTGGGCGGGCGATCCTACGCCGGGAGCGGAGCCTTTCCGAGGGTCATTTTAAAGGGGCTGAAATTTTGGGGGGGCGGAAGAGCAGCAGGTACAATTAACCTCCGGAGGCGGATTGGGCGTTAATAAATCCCCCCGCCCCCCGCCCCCCCCCCCCGCCGGCGGCTGCGTGTGCGGAGCGGCGGCAGAGCGCTGTGCGGTGGTGGCGGCGGCGGGATGTTCAGCTGGCTGGGGAAGCAGGGCGGCGGGCGGGAGCGGGGCGGCGTGGGCAGCGACGTGGTGCAGACGGTCACCGGGGGGTTGCGGGACCTCTACCTCCGCAAGCTGCTGCCGCTGGAGGAACACTACCGCTTCCATGACTTCCACTCGCCCGCCCTGGAGGAGGCCGACTTCGAGAACAAGCCCATGGTGCTGCTGGTCGGGCAGTACAGCACCGGCAAGACCACCTTTATCCGGTAAGCGCCCCCCCTCCCTGCTCCCCCCCTTTTCCCGGTGCTGCGGGACCGCCGACCGGCGCCCCGCCCGCTCG